CTGGAATTTGAAGAGAGCTTGAGGAGGTATATCTTCTCTTGCGGATACGCAGTTAGAACATCTGGATTCGCCCGTTTGTTAGTTTCTATGCGCTAAAAGCGTCGTTGCGGATGTCCGCGGAAACGCACCCGCAGATCGGCACATACAAGAATGTGATCAGATCCCACGCTCGTGCTCCAAATCGAGCGACAGTTTTGGACACAGTGATAAGCAGCAGACATCGATTGCTAGGGTCTCCAGTGTTCGGGCAGGTGCATTCTGTTGGCCAATGTGCAATAAAGTGCGCAGGTTGAGGCATGCCGTCCTTAGCGAGGATTGAGGACTCCAAAGAGAAACAGATGAACTGACGTTTTCCGCTTCGTTGAATATGAACTTGTAGACTGGACTGGAACGACGTCATGCGATTGCGTATGAGTTGCAAACAGAAGACAAGATTCCATTGAAGCAAGATGGGAGAGGCCCTAGAGTTGCGGGTTTTAAAACAGGGGGATACAAGTGAAGTTGGAGCAGGACGATGAGGATTAAAATGCGCAAGAAGGGGAATAAGAAGACGAAGAGGCTTGAACAGTAGTATCCAAATTCTTACCCTCTTTTCCTGATACAACAGCTAGAGCACCATTTATTATCCTCTGCGAGGGCCACAACATCAAGAGATCCTGTGCAGAGTTCATAGGATTGTAATGCACGAGCAGGATACTGTCAGGTTGCCCAGGCCTAGACAGGAGAATGATTAGGGTTTTCAACCGAAGCCTTTGGTTCAAAATATGACCTCAAGACAGTAGGATTTCGGCACTGGGACACAGAGAGTGCGTTTTGTAGTGTGAGGAGTAATCCTTACTTCAACCTCTAACCTGGAGGTCCAGGAGACAATTGGTCTGGCCTCTAATCATTAACCACTCTAGTATGAGTGGCTTTGAAGGTGCATAAAACACTGCGCAGCATAGCTTAATGGATCGCTGAAGCACGCAAACCATCGCACTAGGTTAAGGTGCAGTTTCGCCTCGTTGGATCGAGATAGTTCGTATTATAAGGACGTTTTCCTTTCTCCTATAACTAGCACACACCTTAACATCACATGGGTCACTTACTCTACGAAGGTTGCCTCGATAAGACAGTCTTCTTGCTGTTGTTGCATCTCAGCGCCATAATCATCCTACCGCAAAGCCAATTAAGCATATACCCATCTTGAACAGATGACTGCGTATAAGACCCCAGCGCTGGTAGCGCGAGTCACGCACAGGTGAGTCGCTTGAACTCCAGTTTGAGAGGTGATATGCATTAGTAACAACCAACTTAACCGCCATAAACCTCACCGGTTCTTTTTTATGCTGACTACGCTCCTCGAACAGTCTGACTATTCAATATCGGCTGAACGGAAAGAAGCCCCCCTCTGTGAGTGGGCTTGCATTACATGAGTCTAACCAGCACGGCTTTTTCTATCTTCCGTTTCATCTGACCCGATTCCCGTCTTGAAGTAGTAGTTTGGTCATCTCATCCGTGCGGACACACTAGCGCCATGCAACACGAGCCAAAGACTAACCATCTAGCTTTCGTACATTCTGACTTCTCTGTTTTGCAAGCGCTTCTGAATCCCTGGACTGCACACATCACGAACTCTCCTTCTCAGCCAACGGCCACTAAATTTATCCGGCTGGTAGCTGTCCGGAACGATGCTCATCTGTTACCGGCCAGCTTTATAGCTTACAAAAGAATGAAGTACCCGAAATGTATATCGCCATCCTTCGAGCATTATATTGCAATGTCTCAGGTAAAGTGAGAGCTTATGGTAAGCTCTCTTCACCTTTTGACGTCACTAGCGGTGTACGACAGGGTTGTCCCATGTCCCCGTTTATCATCAGTTTTGCGATCGAGAATGTCCTTCTAAACGCTCTCGAACGCTTTCAGGGTTCTGGTGTAGGGTTTCTTCCTGGTAACCGCGTAACCGATTTAAATTATGCTGTTTATATTGCCTTGCTTGGTGATGACGCACCGAGCACACAAGCCGTTTTAATCCGCTTGACGATTGAAGCATCAAAATATGGATTGACCTTTGCCGCTACGAAATGCAAATTCCTGGTCGTGGATTGGCATCCACCTGCTCCAGCGCTCACTCTTCAAGGTACGCAGCTTGAAAAAGTGGACAATTTTGTTTACCTGGGAAGCTGTCTCTCTGCTGACGGTAGCACTGGAAAAGAGATTTCTCTCCGCATTGCCAAAGCCCGTTCGGCATTCACCAACTTGAGGCATCTGTGACGACGCCGCGACATTTCACTATTGCTAAAGGGCAGGGTCTACAATCCCTGTATGGGAGTGAGTCCTGGCCGATTCGTGTGAATGACTTGCGTCCGATTTCGGTCTTTGACAATGGATGTCTGCGGTGAAGCTCGAGTGTGGTGGATGTACCATGTACGCAACGATGATGTTAGACGTCGCGTCCTGGGTAACACGGAACTTCCACTTGACAGACTGGTATCACTGCGCCAACTGAGGTGGCTGGGCCACCTTTTACGCATACCATGCGAACGGTTGCCCCGAGGCGCTCTCTTCGTTCGCCTAGAACCAGTCTGGAAGAAATCGCGCGGGGGTCAGCCTATCACGTGGCGACAAACGATTAAAGCGCTGACTTCCAGTTTGGTTGTCGTAGGTCCCGTGCGTCTTCCGGGCTGGGGGATCAAAGATGAAGAACACCGTTGGCTGGCAACTCTTTCGGAGATGGCACAGAACCGGGCTCAGTTAAAAACGTGTACAAATGTTTGTTTTGGTTTGCTTGGTTTACGTCGCAAACATTAAACAGACAAAAAAGATAAAACGGCGTTTGCAAAAACAAAAAGGAAAAGATACAAAAAACGTTTTTGCAACTTTCCTTCTTTCCGTTGTGGTCGTATTTATTACTTCCGTTTCATGGTTTTCGCTGGCTTAATGTCTATCTTTTAGACTGCTAATAATACTAATACAGGTAGCTCGGCTGGCATGCATCTGTTGCATGTTTATTTTTCTTCGATGTATTGCGGCACAGTAGCTGAGGTGTTTTCCACTTCCAGCTAACGTGTATAATGATGATGATGGTTGTCAAGTCAACCATAGGCCGTTGCTGTTTTCACTGAAGCATCGTTTTTGCACTATCCACTGTGGATATATCAGTTTTTAGGACTTTTTCACGAATTCCTTAACTGAACTATTCCCAAGTTCACTCAGATCGTCTTACTCCGGCAATTCTCGAAAGAAATACAAAGAGACTGCGCAGAATTTGCAGTATGTTACGTTTGACGAATTGAAACCTTTTGTCAATAAACGCTTTTGTAAGATAGTCGTGTCAACTAGATAAGAGCCCTGATAATTCCTCTATCTATATGCTATCATTGTTTTTAAATGTGGGACTGTTTGCTCGAATGAAATCTAAGTACGTCTTTCCCATTTTGATTCTGCACTTGTGAAACGTCACGTATTTGACGGTGCTGTCCTACTTCACTTGCTGTCGATAGTGTAAGATGCTGAAAATGCATTCACGCGGATACATAGAACTTATGTGAATCGGAAGAACCGAGCTGATTCCCAGGACCTCCTGTCACTTACGAAGACACCGAGGCATCCATTATCTGTCCGACGTCGCTTGTACAGCGCCACATGGCGCTTAGGATTAATGTGGAAGAGACTTGACAACAAATCTTGTTTGTGCTTATCTTACTTAACGATCGCTACCCACGTTTGTCCATATTTACGAGTAACACCGGAAGTTCGTGCTGTAATCAGACCCTTCGCTGTCTTACCGTTATTAATTTTGGATTGGAACTGCTCACATTTAGGTAGGTGATGGTGGGGTTTGCATGCAGTTTAACCGAATACTGAGGTGATCCGTCAGCGACATGACTGTCTGACTGAATCGGACTAGTAATTATCGTCTTACATAATGGGGACCGTTGATGAGTTCTCACCGGTGTTTAGAGATATTCTTAAAAGTGGTGCTCTTACGTTCGATCCTTTTTTCCATCTTTTGACCTCTATCAAGCTATTCTAGCATTTAAAATGTGCGTTTCTCTCTGCTATTTCCCTTTCTGTCCTCATACTATCTCTGTTTTTCTTATCCTGACCATCGGAATAAAATATTAAACAAGAAGGAGTAGCCAAACACATTACAATTCGGTGTTAGGGTAACAGTTTGGTACTTCGACGAAACGTTTCTAATTGGCATATGAAATGTTACATGCATCTGCTCAGTGTGGTAGTTAACTTGGGAAATTCCGATGTGTAAGTACACATCGAATATGTCATGAGACTGGTCACATGGACATTGTCATAGTGATCGCAGGCTACATTTGTCCGCATGCAACTGACATTTACTACACGTGTGGGTACGTGTAAATGAATCGAACAGCGCTGTGACAACAGTGCCTTCGTGGGGTATGTGCTTCCATGCAACACTGCGCCACGACCTCCCGTCTCTCTGTAGGCAGCCTCATTGTTGTCTAATTGAAATAACCCGATTTGTTTGATCAGCACCAAACCGATCTCACTCACTGCTTTTGTGTCTAGTTAGGGCTGCAACTCCTTACCACCTACGGAGCCTTTTTCAGCTCACGCTTTTCTCTTCTCCAGTTGTATACCCGAATCGAGACTGCACTTCATAACCATTGCGGAGATTTCAGCATTTGGCACATTGCTACCAATTTCACCAGGATTTCGAATTTCCATTTGTTATCCTTGAATACCTTACTACTACTTTCTATGTGTAACTTCTTAAGCATGTATGCCAGCCATGAGAACAAGGCGCTTTGATTCTTTTCTCAATTTCTTCGACTTCAGTCGACATGTCACAACTACGTTCATCGGAGGGAGTCTACTGTCCTCTGACAGGACCCTTCGCACACCGGCTGTGGAAGTTGCTTTGATCTCTGCTTCAGCATTTTCCACTTTGTGTCATTGTCAGTCGAAATCAATTCAGACTTAGCATCTTGCATTTGTTTGCTATATCAACCCACTCTGTGCTATTAAACCCATTTAAGGTAGCTGCACAGCTTTTGGAACGTAAACGCGAACAGGTGGAAGATGCTAAACGCACAGGTACCAGTTCTGGCTCCGCGACTGGTGTCGTATTTGATTCAACTGCGGAATTTTACAAATCTATTGGTAGTGGGATTCAAGAAACAATGCGGCAGCACGCACGATTGAATCAAATAAAACCAGAAGACTATTCAGATGATGAAAAGCCGGGGCCCTTACTTGAAGTTGACTGGAAGGCCGCAAAAAGAGAAGGCGACGGGGCATCAACGGATGGCGGTGACATTTCAGATGATGAGTCAAAACCCACGAGTATGTCCTTTTACATCAGAGGTAGTGATTTCTACGGTAATAACAAACACTATTATGCATGCGTTGTTTTCTTTGATGTTGCAGACTAATGGGTGGATGGCTCGTCTCAGGCGCTCGACTATATCATTAGTCTCTTTCCGCGACCACTCGTTGACGTGTATCCACTATGTAGATGACTGACAATTTTCATCCTGTGATATCGCACTTTTATTTTTACCCACCCGGCTCCCACTTTTGCCATAGCTCGGTAAACGGCGTCACCACGCATCATACGTGAAGTGCAAAGTTTACTCACGTTACCAAAGGGACATTTGTCATATATTGGAATTATTAGCACACTTGCAAACCAAAACCTGTTTAGCTCTCGATCCCACGTACCCTATGGCGCGATATCGATGGTTTGTATTCTCATTCAGTTCGCACTTGCACTACCTGTGGATGGGACACAACAGCACATGTTAGCTCACAACGAGCCTCATGTAGGTACTTGCTGCTTTGTGTATGTGCGTGTATTACTGATGAATCCTTGAAAGAAGCAATTTTAATTTCATATGCATCTTGCTCACTCACTTCCATCAGACGTTGAGGAATCTTTCATTTTAAGAAATTGAACAGGGGTTAGTTTGAACACTTCAGCCCTGGCCAACTGTAGACGCTTGTCTTAATTCCAGACAAGTCTGCCGAGTTGGAAACAAGGTCAGTACTCCTAGATATGCCCCACATATAGTCTGTCTGACACCATTCCCTCGACTCCCTGGGCGTACCGTACCGAGTCCCTTGATAGAATAAGAGTCAGAAAACTACCCTTGCGAAAAATGTACCCATAATCCCTCGGTTACACCCTGCTCGGGATGTATTTTCTTTACCAGACAGAACCCATTAGGCGGACGCATCCTATCACATGGTCTGTTGATCGGACACTGCTGCATGCCGTTCTGCCAGGTCACTTCATTTGAGCTAGACCAACTTGTTCCAATTCAGTTTAATCTCGGTACCCTGTGTTTGTTCATTGACATATAGTTACTATCTACACGGATTGAGTTCTGTTTTCCAACTTACACCTTTTGGTGGTAGATGGTGGTCTACTACTCACATTTTCTGTCCGCGGGCTACTGACAACATTTGCTCCTAAGGCCCACTTCAACAAGGAGGGAAGTCGCATCGGAACCGCTGCTTTTTAACCAACATGTATCGACGCCCATGAACCTGCACGCATGAAGCCTCTCGCATCGACTTACAATCGATTACTTAAGATCAGGGTTCTACTCTTATTTTCTGTACCTAGGAATCCTTTTCACCGCTTTTTGGCAACCCAAAAATCATTTCGCCATAATATGTGCAAGTGCTTTGATTGCGGACAAAAATGCAGCATCCTTTCGTTGGTTGGCTGCATGTTCTCACCGCCCGTGACCACAGTTTGGTGAAAGATGGGTTATGTGGGCGATTTTAATCTGTTACTCATTGGCTAAAATTAACAAAATGACCCACCAATCAATACTCTCCTATCCATGGATTTGATGAATCCTGTTATGGGCTGTCCTTTTGGATAAGCTATCTGATGACATTCCCCTTCCGCGTCAACTCGTTTTAACTAGTGCCACTAGTTGCCACTGTGATCCAATAACGATGGGAGGATAGGCAATTAGGTCAAAGTGCTCCGTTCCACATTCGATAGCACTCCGGCCCTCGTCGATTCTAGAAATCGAGCCATCAACGTCTCGGACAGAAAATTTACTCCAACTGCCTCTTTTCTCTTGAACGCGACGCCATCCCAGTTGAGACTTGGTTTATTCCTCTCACTAAACTGCAAGCTGAGGCTCGTATTTGAAACTAAGACTGCTGCGTCTATGATTAGGATGGTTGGTTTTGAGTACCTTCGAATTGAGGCATTTCGCTGTTATCGTAGGCTCCATGTGCTTGCGCTCTAAGACAGGATTCCGGTGCCTACTCTGACTCAACGAATAGAAATTGAAAATCATGCGACATCTACAATTAATGGCAACTGATCCAACTTAGTTTAAAAACCATGTTTTGTGTCACGTGTCTGGATTACTTCAGTGCTTTCGAATGCTTTTCTCAACTATGTGCGAGCCACGTTTCCACCATCAGCGACCTTAATCTGCATTACAGTCGCCCAATCCCGGTTATTCCGTACTCATGAAAATAAATGGAATCAGGAGATAAATAACGTTGTTGCATGATGAATATAGGTGGAGCATCATCTTGGGTTCGCGATGAGATGGCTTCGATGAAGCCGTATCGCCGATCTCCTTCGAAAACCAAGCATTTGGAATAATAGCCTAGCCTAAATGGCAAAGTCAATTCATCTCGGAGATCGATTTCATGGCTGCTTGGATAATCTCTTACATAAAGGCCGTCGAAACTAGGCTGAACACCGCGATCTTGCTTCGGACGACCGAGGTTCCTAGGGTGCTGAACACATACACAGATCGCCGCTTCTAAAGCAATGGTATGTTGTTCAATTAACAAATGTCCACAATCCCTTGAATAGGGCCAATGATAAACGACTAACTTATGCATCATTGAACAACACCAGATCAAGTTGATGGTACTGGGTTTTCCTATACATAGAAGAAGATTACACGATTGGGCGGAGGAAAGGATGGTCTTTTACCGTCCAATGAATTATTCTGATAATTTGCTAGACCAGATGCACCGCCTGTCGGATACTCAACACAGCGAAGACGTTTGTTTCTAATTGGTTAGCAATCTCACACACGAAGACGATGGATGGGTAATTGATTTGCGTTAATTTCTGCTATCACTACATATCTGACGGCGTGATAAACCAAACTGGTGGTTAAAACCTCATCCAGCATGGTGCGATGGATTAGCCAACTGCTACCATCTTAGTGGGCTTGTTCTTGGTGTAGACACGTCCTTCATGGCGCAGTCAACGGAGTCGAAGGCAACTTTCAAGTAAAGGAAAGCGACCATAGTCGGTCGTCTGTATGTGTGTCTCTGCTCTAAAACTTGACGAATAGTAAATATGTAGTCGATGCAGCCACGGTCAGGGCGGAAGCCTGCTTGGCTTTCAGGGACCAATAAGTCGTCAAATAATGATACCCGTGAACCGTTCGGAGGCAACGGAAACAAGGCTAATGCCTCGATGCTTTTAGCACAAAGTGCATTGACCCTTTTTGAATATGGGTACGACAGTTGATAGTCGCCAGTCTGAAGACGTTTCTTCAGTGTCCCAAATCGTGTTAAAAAGTGAAGCAAGTTCAGTCAACAGAGTCAACGCCATCTTTCAACAAAGATGGGGGGAGGTCGTCCGGTACCGGAGCCTTTTTTCGTTTTAACACGGCGAGCTCATTTCGAATCTCTTCCAAAGTGAGAGATGTGACACCTACTTTTCACGTCGGCTTAGGTGATTCGCCAAGCGGCAGTGTCGCAACAGGACTGCTCAAAATGTTCCGCCCAACAAGCTAATCGGGGACGCTGAAGATGCATCAACAGTCCATCTTTCTCAGCTATTGGCTTTCTCGGACCCGTGTTCCGAATGAGCTGGACTAGCACTCGGCTGTTTCCAATAGCACTGGCTTTCTCCATCTGACGGGCCGTTGCCATCCACCAACATTCCCGGCCGGTTTGAAGACTCCTTGTCAGACGTCGTTTCAGTGAGTTACGGATACGCTGAAACTCAGTGCCCACCAGAACCTGTTTCCGTGCTTCGATCAAGTTGATCGATGACATTTAAAGTTACGACGTCTTAGGATGCGTCAGAGACATTCTTCATGGCACACTTGAGACGATCCCAGTCAGCCTTCGGCTCACCAACCTCATTCGCCACTGACAAGTGCTGTGCCAGTTCGGGCTGCGAATTCGTTACAGGTAATAAGACTAGAAGATAGGCGCTTCTCTGAAGCTAGAAGAGTGAGCGCCAAGCGTGGGCACACTATTGCATGGTCAAAATCCAGGCATGTGCTCCCAATCGACCGACAGTCTTGCACTGATGTACGCCATCTGTAGCTGATGGCAATATGGTCTATTTGTGTCCAGATCATTGAGGAATTCGGCAGGCGCGAGGTGACGCGGTGAGAACATTTGTGCTGAAAAGCAATGCTGATAAGGTAAAGGTTGTGATCGGCGCACAGTTGCAGGAATCGATCACCATTGTCTGTTCGGCGTGCATCGACTCCGAAGCGACCTCCCAGGTGTTGTTCATAGTCTGGAGCAAGTCCAGCTCGGGAGTGTGATTGCGGAGACCCATAGGGATCTGCTTGAGGCCTGTCACACACCGCCTTTGAAGATTTAGAGGGGCGCACACATGTTTTACGACTGTTAGGTTACGCACTTGCGACCACGGCCAGCCGCAGGTGAGAGTTGACAGCTTTGCACCAATTTGACCAGAATCTGTCTGGTTCGAGGCGGGCGGTAGCAAACAATTGAGCACCGAAAGGTGCCCTCCCATCGTCACAGACTACGTTGCACTCGTGTTCTACGCAAATCGGGCTGTGAGCTTATAACCCGTAGACTTGTTGTCTCCCATGGCTAGGTTTTAAAGGAACATGGCCATCGACCTATCCCTAAGAAAAGAATTGAATTGTGAGACTTAGTTAGTCTGACCCCTAACCATAGATCTATCTGGTATGTGTGGCTATGAAGGAACTTGGAAAGTGCCACTCAATGGCTAACGGGGGTACACAAACCATCGCACTATGCCAAGGTCCAGTATCGTTGAAGAAGAAGAAAGGCATCAATAGTACACCGATACTCAGTACACCGGGTAGGAACTGCTGTTGGAGATTTAGACCAAGTATTCGTTGTTTGCGGTTGGTGGACTGCAGTTCCGCTCTGGCACTATGTTCGGGGCTTATACTGCTTCCAAATATAAATTGTCACGCAACGCTGGAAAACCTTAAGAGCGAACTTCATCTCTTAGTTTATAAGAAGTGAAAAAGCAACTTTTTGTGATAACATCGCTCAATCCTGTTTCTTAAATACTTGCGATACGGCCGAATTTTTATGAGCGGAACCCTGTGGTTTATTTATTATTTCATTTGTGGAAGCCAAGTGCTACAGAGGACACGATTCAGGCCCGAAATTCTGTGCTAACAAGTTTTGGAGTAAGTATTCCTATGATCACCGCATTTGTGATCTACCTATTCTGTTCCACATCAGACCACTGGCATTCCGTCATCGACGACCAATACGGCCCACGTCCGTTTCCCCACCGAAAGCGCGATGCCTCAATTGGCGAACCACCGGCGAATGCGCATGAAGAAGTTCACCTCACGGGTGTATTGGACGATGAACCTTGTTTGGACTCTGGAATATTCTCGGCTCTAAAGCTGGCAGAGAAGAAGGGTTACATAGAAAAAGGAAAGGAAAAGAGAGTAAGTCCGCTTTGACTCTGAGACTCGAGAGTGTGTTTTTGTATGATTTCTGAGTGCTTCGTCGCTGATATACTTCTTACTCCACCGGAGGCTCTCCTAAACGCATTGTTTACGAGAGCCGGTACGTCAAGATTCGCTTTGCGATAAAGCCAATTGAGGCTTACGGCCCTCTTGATCATCAAACCCTTTTAGAATTCATCGTCCGACTATCCTACCGGTGTTATTTATTGTTATTTTTACGGCGTGAGTCCTGGCACCTCGGTGCTCGGATCATAGTTGTTCAACTGAACTGAACGTCACTTTAAGAAACACTATGCATGATCTTCGACTACCGAATTCACTTGATCGCATTTCTTGCACCAGACTGACGATAAAGTTGTCAGCTACGACCGATGAGAAATGTTGATTTTGCTGCAATCTACCACATTTCACAGACTTACCCGTTCGTGTTTGACAGGGTTTTGTAGCTCTTGAGTATGAGTTAACACTATCCCTCGAACGGGCCTAATCGTCTCATCCCTTCCCTACTCCAGATTTATGCAGTATATGATCCTTTTCTGTGGTGGACAGATGTTGGTGTCCATAAGTTCATACCTGACACCAGAGTAATTGGGAGAGCTATCCAGGAATCGGATTTTGCAACCTATCTTCTATGGCATCGGCCTCGATTAACTGACTTTTGAAAGCATGCCAAGAACTTCGTTAATATTTTGATATCGTTTGAATAGAGCTCAACTGGATCGATATATCACTCCCCCCCAATGCTGAGTGTGTAATTGCGGCCTCCATTTTCATACGCTACCCTAACAACCTTCGCAGAAGTGCGACTACACCAACCTTGAGCATTCTCGTGGTTGATTCACAAGTGTAATAGGCGCGCACTATTCCGTATCACAAGAAGTCCAAGCCGTTGGACCTATACCGCAGACGGCACAGACCATTGTCTGTTGACCTACAACATAACAGAACTTCAACTACCCAACCCTTAATTACTTCATTCTGCTGATAGCCACATCAATGAGTCGTGGGGCAGCTATGTGAAGCTGCACTATAAATGGTCGTTTTCCCCTCTTTCACTATACTGGTCACGTTGGGCACCGCAATAGCTGTATGTGTACATAGACCCATTACTCAATCTGCAACCCGGGTACGAGCTCCATAGCATGGAGGCAACTGCGAATAAGTTTCGTTTGCTTTGTATGTATAAGCAGTCGCGGGCAATTAGCGGCCGCCTCTCAGAGCGTGGTGAGTTATGGGATGGTTACCTAGTTCTTCAACAAATACTACAAAAGCTCGTACGGCGCTGTGTCAAAGTCGATTTGACCGGATAATAGGGTCATCATCATCATCAATACACGTTAGCCGAGGATGAGAAACGCACCTCAGCTAATGTGCCACAATATGAAATAAGTGACTGAACATCACAGACCACAAAAGCTGAAAAAGTAACATTCTGCTAAAGTAACATTATGCATTGAGTTGAGATCGTTGTTGGAGAGAGAAGCTAAAGGGGGAGGGACAAAGAGACTCACAACACAAACACCATTGAGGTCGACTTCTTCCGATGTCAGCCAGTGCATCCAACCAAACGTGTTTATCTTCCATCAGACCCCAGCCCGGCAGTCGGGGGAACACTAACCGACATCAACTTCGAAGTTAGGGATTTCATTCCTCTTGACCAAATCATTGATTGGCCTCCCGTCCTCTTATTGCATCCAGACCCGGACGCGCAAACAACGCACCAATGCGGGAGTCGGCGTGCTAGCATGCGCAACACGTGGCTCAGCCATCGGGGTCTGGTGCGTGATATAATGGTATTGGGCAATACACTTCATGATCCTGCACCAAATACTCGACGCTGAACACGTTCATTGCTCACGTTCGACGACTTCCAAACCTCAGAAGAGGTTGGACTAGGATAGTGGCAGGGCGCCCACACCTGACAGCAGAATGACTCGGGTCTTCAGCCAAAGCCCTCGATTAAATGTACACGAGAAAGGCAGCGGGTCTAGCATATGGTCAGTTAACTGACTCATGCGGATTGGTCTCCTGGATATTAGCAAGAAGAAGGGCGTAACCCAAACGCAGACAGCACTTGCTCAGCTTCGAAACGGCAAGTGTGCCAGTGCCGACGGGATCCCTCCTGAAGTATTGAAACACAGCGGACCCGCATTGGTGACTGCGCTGCACCACTTGGTGCAACGCGTGTTATTTGAGGAGGTGCCTCCTGAGCTGAAGGATGCACTTGTGCTACCACTGTACAAGGGCAAATAGAGCAAGCAAGGTTGCGCGAATTATCGTGGCGTCAACTTGCTGAGTTGTGTGAGCAAGGTGATTGCCCGAATCCTGCTCAACCTCCTCGTCTATTAGGTTGTGGAACTGAACGTGGCGGAAGAGCAGTGTGGATTCCGCTCGGGTCGCAGCACTATAGATATGGTGCTTGCGACTCGTAAGTTGCAGAAGTGTAGAGAACGAAACCAGCCATTGTACTCGCTTTTTGTTGATTTCACCAAGGCATTTGATATGGTGAGCCGCGAGGCATTGTGGCTGGTGTTGGGTAGATTCGGTTGTCCGCGTAAGTTTGTAAGTTTAATTGAATGTCTGCACAGTGGTATACGGGCGAGGGTACAGCTGTGTGGAGAGACCTCGGATGACTTTGCACTTATCTCTGGTGTGAAGCAAGGCGGTGTCTTAGCTCCTGCCCTGTTTAATATCTTCGTGCAATGATGTCTTGTGCTTTTGATGCGGCTTGTGCTTACGGTGTTCGTGTGGAGCAACGTATTGGTGGTGAGTTGCTGAACATCCGTCGTTTCGGTACGAGAACCCTAATCTGTGAGACAACTATCCGTATGTTGCTGTTTGCTGATGATTGTGCGTTGTTTGCACACAGCGCGAATGAGTTGCAACACATGACTAGTGCTCTGGCTTCGACAGCGGCTAAATTCGGGCTCACCATCAACACAAGCGAAACTGTGTCTCTTTTCGCCTTCACCAGAGATGCAATCTTCAATATTGCCGCGAATCAGCATTGGTGCTGTAGTACTGGAAACCAGCTCCCGCTTGTGTTACCTTGGGAGTGTGATGTCGACTGATCAGCAGCTACACAGTGAACTGCGTGTCCGCGTCTCGAAGGCAGTGGAAGCATTCGGGAAGCTAGAGTACCGAGTGCGGAACAACCATCAGCTTACCGTTGGCACGAAGCTGATGGTGTACAAATCCATGGTGCTGTCCGTGCTTCTATACGGCAGCGAAACGTGGACGACGTACCGGTGGGATGTGCGTTATCTCGAGCGGTTTCATCAACTGTGTTTGCGTATGATTCTGCGCATCACTTGGGGAGACAGAGTTGCCGACACGAAAGTGTTGCGACAAAGTGGGATGTATGCAGTGGACTGCATACCTTTGCTGAGACACCTGAGATGGCTCGGTCACGTGAGCCGTATGGATTCGACGCGGATACCGAAACAGCTAGTATATGGTCAGCTGAGTGTTGGGAAGCGACATATGGGGAAGCCGACGGTTCGTTTCCAGGACATGATCAAAGTGAGCCTCTCACGTTCTAATCTTGATTGCAGATCATGGGAATGGAAGGCGGTTGATCGACGTGCATGGCGCGATCTGATCACGAAAGCAGTTGCCAAGGTGCAGGAGAAAGACCTCATGCATGCAGAGAAGAAGCGGCAAGTGCGGAAGCGGCAAACACCAATGAATTGTACTCCATCGACCTCGAGCGCATGGTGCTGTAGAACGTGCGGTCGCGAGTGCCTTAGTCAGGCAGGCCTAGTGAGCCATGAGCGAGGCTACTCGGGAGCAACACCGAAGTGACGATGGGTCCTGCAGAGAACGTAGGCAGATTCAGCGCCGCGTTTGTAGGTACGTTGCATTCGATTTTCGATTTACTAACCGCTTGCTTGCATACTTAGTCTCTTTACTTCAGCTGGTTGGTTTGCTATATTGTCTCATTAATCGCTACGTGAACTTTGTTGTAATAACGTGCAGACATTGCTCATTTTAATTGTAGTTAACTTTGATAACGCTTTCACGTTTGTGACATTTTCTTAAAATATATTTTCTGACGTTTTGAACCTATAGCGGATATTTTGGCAACCAAATTATTTTATATGCTCATTTATTGAAGAGTTATGTCACCGTATGTGTATGCACTATTCGATTTATTTTGTTTGATCTCGTCATCTCAAGTGATTGTCTGTTGCTTGATATCCTTGGTGTGGCTGCGCTTGATGTGCATGTTGACAAGGTGCCTACCTGTCTATTATCCAGTGTCTCGTCCATACTGGCTCCAAGAAACAGTTGCTCATTTTAGGAGGACGTGGTGCACGGGGTGGCTCCCATGCACATACCCCCCGGTCTTATTCCTTCGGGTTTACACTGGATATGGGGTGTCTGGTTGGAGCTGTGGGTGGTGCAGCGCAAGCCACCCATGGTCCCTCTGTAGGCGCAGGCGTCCTGTGACTGGCCACAGTGACAGGCAAATTTGAACCCGGATGCCGCCAACCACACACACACACACACACACACACACACATATATATATATATATATATATATATATATATATATATATATATATATATATAGATTGGTGACATCAGTATTTTGATTTGCCTCACCGTATTCAGGACTGTTGGACGGCTGATATGGAGTCTTTGGTGTATGGTGTTATTCCATAGTCGACTTCAGCAGGAAGCCTTCCAACAGCTTCGTCAGATCTAGGACATACCACCGTCGACGCATGGAGGGTTTTGACAGGATACCCGCCCTCCGTGATGACGCTTCATTTCCACATGATCATCAGAAGTTCCACAGACTGAGGCTATCCGCATGTACACCGCTTCGAGCCGGTGACCTCAGGGTCAAAGGCCTTATGCCTTATCTAATCGGCGACTCGCATATGAAGTCTTTGCTTTCCTCCCTTATTAAACTCTTGTATCATTGGCATTTGATATCAACGGGGCAAATGCTTGACGAATGCCATGAAATGCTCGGGGCGAAATCCGCGAAATGGAACGTGGTGTCGCGTGGTACTGGACTTGTCCATTATTTTGCATTTTTACAGTTTTTTGCAATCCCATCTCGATTTTACAGCGTCTGGTGAGTGTACATCGTTTATTTTAATTCTATGTCACCACTGGATGGTCACGAGCTATCACGTAATGTGAATTTGTCAGTGTGTTCAAGCCGGTATAAAACGCCAGCGGAACTATTGTGAGTTGGAAGTGTCCCACGGCTGAGACGCTCGCAGGGGAAAGTTTGTCGACCATGAATCCGGCTAGTGGTGCCTCAAGTTGGTGTCGTAGCTATTTCGAGAGACTGCAGTAAGCGCGATTGTGACTTTTCAGAATCTGGTAGACCTTTGTGAGATCACCCTGAAGATACCGATAACATGCGCTAAACATTCCTAGGACTTTCATGTATATGTTAGGAGAGAAGGCTGGACATCGTTCTTATGTCTAGACTGCTGGGTTTGGGTGGGTTGTTCCATATGCGCACTCTAGTACGCGTCGTGAAGGCCGATCCCACGATACACTTGACCACATTCCGAGATGTATACGCGGCGTTTCCAAACTGAATTATGCACACGGATAGACATTTGGAAAGTGTACTGCCACTATCAGTCACACATTCATCTGCCCCCTCCCCCCGAAGATAACTGGGATAAGATGACTGTGACAGAAAATGCTGTTTTCAGACACGGTGTTTTTGACCACTGTTGAACTTGTATTCGGGAGAACATGTTAGATAAGTTCCGCCTTCGCTCCCTTGAACCCGGTTTCCGTCTGCCCCCGGTGACATTTGGTTGTTTTCCATCGTACTCCACGCGTGGAGGCTAGTGTCTCACGGTTACAGTAATCTGATATCCCACTACCCATTTGTCGGACGAATTTGTAACTTCGTCATCGTTGGCATCAACGATGTGCACGACGGTGACACTTAGTAATTTTGTCAGTAAATCACTACCGCACTGATAAAAGTCAAAAACATATTCTCGGTGTTGAGATAAGAAACTGGTCCTAGCCTTAGGAGCTATATGCATCGAGAAATCTGCGCCCACTGTGAAGCAACGAAACTTGATCATTGCGTGGAATTGCTTCGCGTCGTAGGTAGTTTTTGACCTACCATACATCTCTTAACTGGACAGACTGTTGGATGACACTATATTCGACACTAACACGTTGGGTACCGCGTCCTGTTATGTGTGGAGTCAAATGCAGGATAGGTTGAGCGGACCCCAACTTGGAGTATGAGACAGACGACCTCATGATTATCACCATGATTTCCCACTTGCAAGTCATCGGTGAGCAGGTATAAGCATCACGTGCCTAAACCAATGTTCGTTGAACTAACCTGATCATCGCCGCCCGGCACTCGCCAGAAAAAGCAATGTCGTATGGCCAGCGGTCATCAGAGGCCCGGAAAAACGTGAGCTCTTCAAACGGGAGTGGGCAAGCTCCATTTCATGCATGGCGAAAAGAGAACATATCCAAGCTAGCTTGTCGCCTCATTTTCATTATTTATATCAACCGGCTTTCATCCAGTCGGACCTTAAGCACGTACATCATGACACCCCACAAAGGAACCTTCCACGATTGGTCCATTGGAATGATGAAAGGAAAGTGGCGAATTGCACAACTTCGATGCTTCGCGTGTCACCAAAAAGGCATCCAGCAGGTGGCCAAATACTCAGATGCTGTCTGGTATGTTAGAGTACGGGGCGTGTAGTAATCCCATATTCAATAGTAACATATTTTTGAGTAATGATCTATTACACAATGCATCGATTACGTTCTTGAAATCGGAGCTAGATCTGTCCCCGTGGCACGTCAGCAAAAATCTGGACGGCGTCACATAATATAGGGGTTTTTGATATCAGGAGACTATTGGGCATTGTTACTAACAAATTACAACTGTTGTCGCGCAGGGGTCCACGAAATATGGGTTACCGATAAGAATCGCAAGATATATAGAAGAAATGACGAAAAAGTAAGAGCGAGGTACCCGCAGCGGCCTATTTACGCTTTTCTACCCTGCTGTGTGCAGCGGATAGAGCAACCTTTTTAAAAACGCGCAACGGCCGGTGAGAAATTGGGCTTCAATTTGGCGAACTAACCTGAGCTCTACGTGAGATGGGTTACTGCCAGTGTCCAAGTCTACGTAGTATAACTATTAGAATCATCGACCAGCTTGCTTCAAGCGCTGGGGATGAAGAACCCCCAGTTCATAGGCTTGGGCGACGGCCCAGCTCAAACCATCCACCCTGGGAAAATGGTTTCTCCTGACTGCCAATTGAACAAGACGCCCCAGGTGCATAGAAGTGCCACTCAGCTCGGTTCAATAAGTCGTAACACGTCGCGATATTTGCACCAGAAGCTTCATACATTCCTACGACACTGCGCCGCCTTATAACCTTATTTTTTATCGATCACCTTTGCTTTTGCACCCTTTCCGATACTCTGACTTCAAAGCCGAGTCCGTATGTAGTGTTCATTGAAAGCAACTTCGCTAAAAGCTTTGCATCGCAGTTATTCTTGGTTGATCAACTTTCCTCATCTTTTCAGACCGGCGCAGGCACCATGGTAAATTTAATGGCGAAACATTTCGTACAAGAAGACATTCGGTATGATGATATTGACGCCAAATTCGCCAAGCGCGACCGTTACTCCGGGCCATTAAGCGAATTCAAAGAAATGAAAAACTTCAAACCTGATGTGAAGCTTGAGTACGTAGATGAACTGGGTCGTCAGCTAAATGCAAAGGAAGCTTTCAGACAGCTGAGCCACAAATTCCATGGGAAAGGTTCCGGAAAAAATAAGACGGAGAAGCGGATGAAAAAGATCAAGGAGGAGTTTGTGAGTGCATTTCCTTTCTGCTCGTTTGTACTACAGCATTGCGTTCGTTTAGATTACGTTTTTTGAGCTAATATGTTTGTACTTTACACTCGGTTGCAGCTCCTCAAAGCAAGCGCCAGTTCTGACACTCCACTGGGAACGGCTGAAAAGCTAAACAAGAAGTTGCAGTCAATTTCACAGCCATACGTCATTCTGAGTGGGAAGAACGCAGCTGTGTAAGTTTATGATGGTCCCCATCCCCTGATGCTCATCGATTTTATACATACCACTCCCATTCATTCCCATTGGCAAGCGTAGCTCCCATTCATCTTTAATTAGCGCCGCTAGTTTCCATCAAGTATTTCTGTTTAACTTGTTACCGTTGACTGTTTTGATGATCACACTGACGTGTACATTCTACTGCTACGTTTGCTTTTCAGAAAAAACCTGACGAAGTGACAGGTGCCACCTTCTTTTGATTGCTTGTTTCTTCTATCTTCGCTGGATGCTGTCCTCTCTGTACATATGTCTCAAATAAATCCGCTATATTTCAACTATTTCTTCTTCAGAGTTCTGTCGATATCGTGTCGTTGCATAGGGAGCTCGTTGTAGCATTAAGTGTTGTATCATTCATATTGAGAAAATTAACCATAACTATTTGTGAACAAGCACGCAGTGTAGCGCCTATAATCGCAGCCCAAGATCTGAGTATGTCTAGATATCCCCCAATACATTCCCGGTACTCATTGAAGCACCTTAACGCAATAGATTTTGGGAAACAAAGGTATCATCGAACTTCTGACTGAGCAATAGTTCAGTTGGCAAAATAAGTACACTACCGAGACCTGAATACAGCCGGCCTAGCCAATAAGGAATCATCGTGGGTTGCCTGTCTAACTGATTCATACGCTCAATCGTTTTCTCCTAACAATCCTCCGGCAGGTTATCCTTAGCCCACCGTTGTTCCAATAAGATTAGCTACCTCATCGAGTAATTTTTGCATTCCTGGTGCTTCCGCATTAATATGACGAATGGTACTCATACACACCTCTAAGCGGTTTCACGACAATGAGAAATATGGAATCCAACCACTGGAGAAAAAGCGGATGGGATTGCGGCGGATTTCCTTGGCAGCATGCCACCAGATATCAGCAGCTCCGTCTAAAGGACTCTCAAGTAATCTAGTTTTTTCACAAATACATTTGTTCCCATGCTATTCAAGCACTCTGGGCTGTAGAGCGGAACTCAGGTACTGACTGCATCGAGAACAGTAGGAACAGCTACGGTTACCGAATACGCAGCGATGTGAATGTTGCCTGACCCAACATGTATTATGCCAAGATGCAATGAACTATAAGCAAGAGCATGGAGCAAGGTAGCGCACGGCTCACCGATAATCCGAAAGTGAACGGGATGTAAGATTAGTGAAACAAATGAGTGACTGAAAGATACAAGCATCCCATTGTCAGAAAATACTGAAGGCGTAAATGTTTCGTGTTCACTGCAGTAATCTTCCCCTAGAAAGTTGAATGAGGGAAACCTTCGATAAGTGTCAAGTGGGGTAACAAAATGAAGATAGGAGAGTGGGGTAGCAAGTATAGTGGGCGCAGGCGGACAGAAAGGGGCGCATGGAATTCGCTGAGTCCAGGTATTTTATTATCTAGGTGTAAACTGGAGTGCGTCACCGGTGGGCCTTTAGGGCGGACTCAACGGAATCCAAAAAAAGCTGGCTAGTATAGTGAGAAGACCGACAGGACACTGCCTCCGTTGCTGACCCCACGGGAGGTGTCACTTCTCCCACCGCACCCCAGTCAACGGCGATGACCATGCTTGTCTCGCATATTCGCAGGATAAACGTTGCCAAGCGCTCATAGGCCAGACTAGGTGTTGTTTTCACCTGTAAAATAGAGGTGGCGGTTGCTTGGAGCTAAGTTGATGGGGCTCTGGCCTCGGAAAATTGGGCCAGAGGGTGCCGAGGTTGTTCGGGTGACTTCGGTTCTGGGGAGAGTGGGACGTCATTTGGAAAGGCGTCGTGATGCCAGTTGGATAACGGGATAAGTATGCGATTTTTCAACAATTTTGGGGTCATCTGTTTATAGGACAAAACACCCTAAAAGCTAAATACTCGCATGGTAATGTAACTAGTAAACGTTAACGAAATCCGTAAAGCCGACCGGACGTTCGAACTCTACCGCGTCGGTCGGTTGTTCGGGGCTGCGTTGGCGGAAAGTCACGAATAACAGGAATCTGGGCTGCCCTGTATCCGGGAAAAAGTAAAATCATTGAGGAAAACCATTATTTTAGCAATTACTCAATTATCTTGCATTGATTTCAAAGATTCCGGAACCTTTCATTCCTTCACGTGATTGCCAGCATACGGAGTTTTGGCAAGGAGGCTTCTAATTTTACCAGTTGACCTTCGTTTTCTAAAAGAACAAGGTCATTGAGCCCCCTATATATAGGGCGTAGTGGTACAGCGTTTTGGCGATGTTTTTGGCTACTTTTGGCGTCGTTTTTTTTAACTAGTTTTTCACGGTCAAGGTCGTCGGACTTTTGATTTTCCTTTGCTGGGCTATAATTTTCGTGTGTTTGATTCGGAATAGCTTGCCGAACAACCTCCTCAGGGTGCCAGCTGGGTGGTTCGGGATTTTCCCGTTCCAGCAACTGGTTCGGCGGCAGTGTTCCAGGACGTGGTGGGTTTTCGCCTGGCAAGCGTTCTCCCTACAAAAAGCCACATATGTCCGTTTAACAACACTGTGACGTGGCGGACGTGACTCGCCACTAAATAAAGTCACTGCCCCTTGCTTCATCCTGGCGAAGCATTGTATTCCAGCAACGTCATGCTGTACTTCTGGGGAGCATTGGGCCCCTGTTTGACAAATGAACAAACGAAAGGCGTATGAACTGAGCAATCAATGGGCGCGATTCCCTGAATTCGCTGCGCTGCCTTGCGGACAGGCTATTCAGCCAAAGGCTCGGGGTGGTGTCCCCTAAGTCAACACCCTACTTCGGCTTGGGTAACCGGGTAGTATCTCGCCCTCTGAGGAAACTATAGACATTGTTGTGTTGCGTTTTATTTTACTATTTCTGTACCTTCGTTTGAATCCCATGGTTTCTGATGGCATTATGTCTATTCGTAGACTTTTGCAAATATATAAAGATCTAACGATGGCGACGGACAAGCACGAAAATGTTACACACTTTTCCGCCGAACATTTTCAAAAGCTGCTTCTTCAGCAACAATCCCAGATGGAAGCACAAATGAAACTGATTGAAGGTCTGACGCAGTGCTTGAGCGTACAGTAAACCGGAGCAGATACACGGGGCAAGCAGGCTGTTTCACTTGATCTTCTTACGAATTCACTCACTGAATTTCATTATGATGCTGATTCCGAATGCACTTTCGAGGCGTCGTTCAAACGTTAGCAGGATATGTTCCAGGTGGATTTCAGCCGTCAAGATGATTCATGGCACGTGCGTCTCTTGCACCGCAATCTCGGTACTAATGAACATTCAAGATTCGTCGACCACATCCCAAAATGCCGAAGGACATCACTTTCAACGAAGCAGTGACAACACTCAAATTTTTGGTGAGTTAACGTCTTTGTTTAGCATTCGCTCCCACTGTCTAAAAATTGTTAAGCGGGATACGGACTATTATGGGGCACTAGCAGTCATGTTTAACTGTGAATGTGAACGTTTCGAGTTAAGCTGTTTGACGGATGACCAGTTTAAGTGTCTCATGTTTGTCAGTGCTTTACACTCTTCACGCGACGCGGAAATCCGTACTCGGCTCCTTGCTAAGTTGGATCAAGATTTGACATTGAAGCCTTTTGTAGACGAATGCAAACGGTTGATCAGTTTGAAACATGACACCGCTATGATTGAGCAGAGTCGCCCCACCATGTTCATGCTGTGCAAAAAACAAGAAAGACTGGCTTGAACAAGCCGCCAACATCTTTTTGTTCATGTGGTGAATGGCATTTCGCACGATATTGTCCATTCAAGTGTCACATTTGTGATAAGTGCCATAAATGCGGCCACAAGGAAGACTTTTCCCATCAGTCTCGGCCAAGAAACGTGAAGCAGACCTACCGAAAAAAGCACTTTAGGAAGCGTGACTCAGAATCAATTTTCACAGTGATTCTAGAACACGTCGCCGATTTATCACTGTGCTGATCAACGGAATCCCAACTAGTCTTCAGTTCCATACGGCCTCAGATATAACGATCATTTCCAGGAACACTTGGAATCACACAAGGTGGCCGAAGAGTTGATTTCAATAAAGTCGCCCACAACGCATCCGGTGGAGTGCTGAGACTGGTCGGAGAAATAACTTGCAAAATTGCATTTAACGGAGTGGAACAGGCCGGAATCTGCTACTTGTTTGACCGACCAAACCTGAATCTCTTCGGGTATGAATGGATGGAAAAGTTATAACTCTTTGTTGTTCCCATGAGTCAGATTTGCAACAGAGTCCAAACCGACCCAGTCTATGCATCACTGTCGATAGAAGACATGACGAGAAAGCTAAAGTAGAAGTATACCTCCTTGTTTGAAGATGGTCTCGGTCACTGCACTAACTTCAAAGCAAAGTTGTGCCTTCGCGAAGAAACGAAGTCAGTTTTCAGAGCAAAAAGACCGGTACCGTATGCAGCCATGGCAGCAGTTGATCAGGAGCTCGACCGACTAGAGCCAGCCGGTGTCATTACACCAGTGAACTACTCTTCATGGGCTGCCCCGATTGTTGCTATGAGAAAGGCGAACGGTAAAGTGCGTGTCTGCGCCGATTTTTTGACTGACCTGAATGCCGCACTGGACGACCATCAATACCCCCTTCCGATACCCGAGGATATCTTTGCCTAGCTGAATGGTGGGAAGTGTTTCGCCAAGCTCGACTTATCCGATACCTACCTCTAGATCAAGGTTGATGAAGACTCGAGAGGATTGCTGACCACCAACACTCATCGTGGTTTGTACCGGTACAACCGCCTCACTTTTGGAGTGAAAGCAGCACCAGCCATCTTCCAGCAGCTGATGGACACCATGCTCGCGGGAGTTTCTGGATGATATCATTTTAATGGGTCGGACGGCAAACGAACTATTTGAGCAGCTCGCTGAAATGCTTGAACGCATCCAGTCCTTTGATTTCCGTATCCGTAAAGACAAGTGTACATTTTTACACCAACCATCAAGTTTCTCGGCTTCATTTTATCAAAAGACGGTCGTCTCTCTGATCCAGAAAATATCCGAACTATTCAAAAGATGCCCTCACTTGCGGACTTGCAATCGATGCGTTCATTCTGTGGCCTAATCAGTCATTACAATGCTTTTCTGTTCGAACTGCATCGTCTGCGTGCCCCGCTGAACAAGGGCCAAAACTGGAATTGGACGCCAGAATGCCAAATTACGTTCGAGCGGTTCAAGTCATTGCTGGCTTCAGACCTACTCTTGACTCACTTTGACCCGCCCCGAGAAATTGTCCTTGCCACAGACACATGGAGTCTAGGGATCGGTGCATTAGTTTGCCATACGTTCTCAGATGAATCTCAGA